TGACATCAGTTACTGAGGCATAAACAGACCCTAAGCCGGGACGAAACAGGGAGAAAACGAGCAAAGAAACGAAACGGCGTCATAATGAACAGATCCGAGTCACGTTACTCATGAGTAGTCAAAAAAACAAGGAAAGTTACCGCTGGTCACCGTTGATTCGCAGGCGGAATCAACACCAAGTGACGCGTCCGTTTTCATCAGGTCCACCATTTCTTTTACGGGCTTGTCGTCTGGTTGCTTGCTTGGTCCGGAGTTACATGGTCCTTGCGTTCTCTTGCTCTTAGCGGTTCATAAATCGGGTCAATTTCAATACGCTTGTTGATAGCATCTTCGGTGGAGTACCACGCTTCCGTACGTTCGCGTTCTTTCTTTGCTCTCACTTGTGTCAATTTGCGAACGCCGCTTTAGTCAAACTCGTGTCCTTCCTGATGGAGAGATAGGTGAGAGAAAATTGATAGTGTCTTTTTGCAGCAAGTTTATGTTCATGTATTCTGGTGGAGAGTTTCTTTCCTGCTTGCCCTATATATCGTTTGTCGCAGTCCTTGCAAAGGATGTTCCTCATCACTGGATCTAATTTTTCTTTTAGATTCGATAGAGTCCTCCTCAAAGCGTTCGCCGGTTTGTAGGCCACCGTCATATTGTGCTATCGTAAGAGCCTGGCGGTCATTTCGGTGGTGTCGCTGAGGTGTGTGACTCGCTTGCTTCCATTTTGTGTCGTTGTATTATTCGTGTTTAGCTTTCTGAGTGATCTCTAAATGAAGTTTCTTTGGTATCGATTTCTCTGGAACAATTTGTACAGGTGTTTTCTTCTTTATTCTCGTATTTCGTTGTGCTGCTATGTGTTTCAATCCGTTTTGAAAGTATCCTAATTGAGCTTTGTTTGTGACAATTTGGATGGTTGCTGTGGTAGCTCAGAATTTGTTCCGTGTGCGTCGCCTTTCTATAGACCTCAGTTTGTAGCTGTCCGTTGGGTGGTCTGTGATAGGGACGTTCGGAAATGCCAGTTTTCTGTTGTTCTGTTCTTCGAATGTAAACTTGGAGTCGTCCGAAACGTTATTTAGCAATTGGCTCACTCGTTGCAGTTCGTTATTTTGATGATCACAAAAGTGTCATCCACGTAACGTATCCATACTTTGGGATTTATATCTGGCAATATAATTTGTTCCAGATTTTTCGTCGTAATTTCTGCAATAAACCCCGAAATAACCAAACCAGTGCGGCTCTTTCGTAGCTGTTCCTAGTATTCCTCGTTGATCTCGAAATTTGTGATCAAGCATAAGTCGAGTGATTGGCAGAGGTCCTCGTTCTCCAGCGATCCATTTGGCATGCCGCCGTTATCCAACCATTCAGCCACAGTTGTCTTGGCAAAATGGTGATCTACTGACATGAACAACGAGCTCACATCAAGCAAGACCATTATTTCATCCTGATCGAAGTTTACGTTTTTCAGCCTCTCCAAAAATTGTCCCGCATCGTTGACTGAGTGTATAGACCCACCAATGAGATGTTAAAATTCCTTCCATAGTTTGTTCGAAAGATTGTAAAAAATCGCCGTTTCCGGGAGTCATACTATTGGTCGAAGGTGTATTTGTTTCTTTGTGTACCTTTGGTAGTACGTAGAAGCGGGGAGTGGCGGAATCGCGAGCTCTCCCTCTTCAATGTTCTTCTTGTGTAATCTTATGGAGATCTTGGAGTTTCTTTCAGTTCATATTGATTTAGTTCGCCAGTTGCTTGCTTTCATCACGTTCCAAGCGGCGATACGTGGTTGCGTCGTCGAGTTACCCCTCTGACACAAACCGCTCCAACTGACATCAGTCCCCAATTGACCGAACAACTTGACCTCTTCAATCATAAAATCCTCAGCTGATCGCCTGCTTCCACTGGTGTACTTGTTCCAAAGCGGACTGTCAAAAGCCTTTACAACCACACTGCACACCTACCATCACCATTCACTTCGCAGTATTTCGTCCCTTGTGCCCCATTGTTACTCGCTACTTCCAAACACTCCACATCACATGTTAGACGCCCGGTTAGACCTTGCCCTATCTGGTGCCCAGAACTTCCTTGGCCATCACGGAAACTATCGGTGATATGGACCACTGATTCAGCCCACCTTACGCCCTTAGATATAACCACATCAACAGAATGGCAGGAAAACTCTTCCACTGCACGGTATTCCTGGGAGGTCACTGCTTATCAGCCGGAGACTGCATCTTCATGAACAAGTGTCGCTTGACATAAAACAAGGGCGACCGTGCTCCACGGTTACCAGAAGCTAGCTGTTATAACTTTCTGAACGGTCGTGCAACTCTGTATCGGTCCCTTGGCTTCCTGCTCCGCTCACTATGCTATATCAAAAGGTACGGTAGCTCTAGACAACCCTTTATGGAGAGAAAAGGAGAATCATTACATCTGTATTTATGGGGTACTTACAGAGTGTTCCACACGGTCGTGCCACAATGTCCGTGAGAGGGCGAGAAGCATCCAGTCAAGGATCCTCGACCCGAATTGGCTGGCATTCTGACCAATCAGGGCGTGCCTACGTTCGGCCCGTGTCGTGCACGTAACACATCCGTCCAAGTGATATGCTGTTCGGTTATTAGGGACGGCTGGCCCCCGAACACCTCCCCCTTGAGAAGGCTGTTCAACGGACTGCTGCTTTGAACTCTACTGTGACGACTCATGGAAGTTCTGTCGCATTTCGATTCGTCGCTGAGGCTGTGTGCATGCCGATCTGGGGTCTGGTACCCTCCACTTGGGAGGCATATCATGGCTGTCCGGCGTCCTATGACACGTGAACACCTCACCGAGCCGCAGTCTGTTGCCTGAAGTTGGTTTACATGACGCGGCTGTGCTGATGATCTTAGGTGTGCCTCGTGTTTGCCATAATCGCCCCTGTGTCCACGGTGAAGAGCATTCCCCATATATCTGAATCACTGGCTGGTCTGTGTGTGACTGTTGTGGCGTTTTTCTTCCGGTTCCCCTTCCTTGGCTCAAGCTAATCTGAATGGAAAAGAGTACTGTTCACCCTTGGCGTCTCACCCCTACCAGCCCAACGGTACTCCGAATTCTGGACACTCGGTTGCTTGATTGTTTCGGCGACACGGTGTATGCACTGTACCAAATGGGGTTGCGACAGTCCCACCTGGATTAGCACGAGTGTATGCGAAACGGAACGGAAGGGGGAGCGATTGTCCGAAACGAGCACTAATCGCCCAACCCATTTAGTCACACGTGCGACAAAATCGGTGTACCTTTATGGGATTACCGAATGTGTGCTGATTTCAACTTCGGTTGGGTTGCTGAACAGGTTAGGCTCGGCTACATACAAAGTGTTATCAACTGTTTTGAAGCAAATTAATAATTGGACAGTGTTCAAAAGCCTTCTTAGAACAGTTTATTTCTCGCGACTGTCGCACACAGGTGAATCGGCCTCATCAGGCAAAAATTCGAACTGCAAGTAGGGTTGTTGAAGAGACGTTCTAGAAAATTGGCGTCTTGAAGAAAGAAGCACCCCCATAATTTGAGACATCATCTTTCAAGAACTCGCAACGATCCGCACAAGTAGTGTGTCACTTTGGTTTTGACTACCATGTGAGCTTCCAACGTATAATAGCTGTTGCCAAATCTGTTGCATTTCTGAAGCCGTCGGGAATTCGCCAGTCCGGCGACCGGATGTTGGACGCTAAATCATTGACTTATGGTTTCGGAAAAGTTTGGGGGACGAAATTCCCGAGGAAAGATGATTTCCTCATCATTTCCAAGCGACTGAATAACATGGACTGATCAAGGAGGCCAGCACGAGGAAAAAACTATGCCTAAAGTCAGCATTATTGCAGACTGCTGCTAACTGCTGGTTGTTCCATGCGAATCAGCAGAAATGTAGTTTACCGTATAACTTTTCTATAACTACTGATATTCCTTGGTAATATGCATCGCACGGACTTTTGTCGGAAGAAGTTTCTTGTGTGTGTTCCTCAGCAGCACAGGCCAACCCAATAACCAAAGAGAGAGGGTCAACAAAAATCAGAAAAACAAACCATTGTTACCCGCCAGTTGACCTTCAGTGTCTATACACAAATTCAGTCAGAACGAACAGGCAGAAACACGCCGACGTTACTTTGCACACCATATCGGGCTGAGAGAATTTGGAACGTCCAATCATTGCAGCATCAGCCTTGAGATTGGTAAGATGCTGGTATTTGGTGGTAAGTTTCTCAAGCGTCAACTCTGGATCCTGTTCAATTCGATACAGTAGCCGTGTCCGAATATCCGCATCGTGTGGTGATTGAAGACCAGCCACAAAGATGAGACACTTGAATTGATCCTCAGTCATGGAGCTGAGCTGAAAGCGCTCGCATTCTCTGTTGACCACACCGGCATACGTGATGAACTCCTCAGTATCCCTTTTGGTAATCTTGAGACACTGATAACGAATATTGAACAAGGAAATTTGCTCACCGAATATTTGGGCCAGAATTTTGACAGCATCTGCGAACCCAAGGTCACGAGGGTGTTAGGGGCGTATTAAATTTGTGAACCGATCGTGTTCAGCTGTCCCCAGTTTCCGCAACAACAGTCGAAATTTCCATGCGTCATCAAATTGAGAAAAGTCGGTTTGAAACATGTCTTCATATTTTTTGAACCAACTTTCGAAAGTTTGTCCAGATTCAGCATCGAAATTGAATTCAGTAATCGAGCTGGCAGCAGCATCTGCGGAAGAAGACTGAGGCTCAAACGTTTTTGTCGCATTCACCGACATACTACGCATCAGAGATTCAATAAGCCTCATTTGAGCTTCTTCGAACTGCTTCTGTTGTTGCCGTAAAATTAATTGGAGTTGCTCTGCTGAAATTGAAATCGTGGGTTCGGGTTGTCGCCAGTTGTTGTGTCTTGATGGACGGCAGTGCAACTCTGTATCGGTCCCTTGGCTTCCTGCTCCGCTCACTATGCTATATCAAAAGGTACGGTAGCTCTAGACAACCCTTTATGGAGAGAAAAGGAGAATCATTACATCTGTATTTATGGGTTACTTACAGAGTGTTCCACACGGTCGTGCCACAATGTCCGTGAGAGGGCGAGAAGCATCCAGTCAAGGATCCTCGACCCGATTGGCTGGCCATTCTGACCAATCAGGGCGTGCCTACGTTCGGCCCGTGTCGTGCACGTAACACATCCGTCCAAGTGATATGCTGTTCGGTTGTTAGGGA